TCTCTCTCTCTCTCTCTCTCTCTCTCTCTCTCTCTCTCTCTCTCTCTCTCTCTCTCTCTCTCTCTCTCTCTCTCTCTCTCTCTTTCTAGCTATCATTTTTATCTACCCAGAGCCTCTTCTACTAAGAAATAGTGGAAAAAAACTGTACATTCTGTTCACTGTCCTGATCTCGTGACCTAGTGTAACTTAATTGAGCGCTGCCCCTTCATTAGATCAGGCCAGTAATCAACCGAACTTGGAGTCGCACAGGTGTACTTAAATAGCATCTGTGGCTTGCGATCCCTTCTTGTCTGCGCGCGAGGAAAGCAGTCCGAAACAAGACAGTGAAAGTTAATTGACAATGCGAGTTGAAACCCTACACCCCACAGACCTTGGCTGGTGATACAGAGCCTAAGAAACCATATGCTTATTCACATGTGGTAAAGAATGATTGTGATAACAGAACTGTTTTTTCAAAAAAGAGCACAGAAGTAAAAAGAGCAGCAACAAAATCGCGCAACGATAAACCCGAGCAAAGCAACACAGCCCCCGAGACCCCGAGACCCTCCACTTAACAACGGCAGAATCCAACCCGACCAAGGCCTTTTATTTTTTTCTCAACATGTGTTGGGCACCTCAAGATTTGGGGACTGTTGCAGTTTGGTTCTGAAGAAAAAGAAAGATTATATGCTGTAAACGGACCAGGCATGTCCAAATTTCATTGGAAGAATGTACATTTTTAACGTGTGAATGGCCACTGCAGTAAGATTCGAGAGTGATCGGGTGAGCAGAATTTGGAGACGAGTCCAGGTGGCGTTCTATTCTTCTTCTCGTCCCTTCTGAACTGTCGACACAAAATCATGACGTTGTACCAAATGTCATCGCTTTCGAAATAAACGTCTTTCTCTGGTCTCAGGAGCAGCAAAACACAATAATCGTAGTATGCATGCCAAAAGCTTTTAGTTTTATTCACATAACCGTGGGGGGGGGGGGGTGTCGAAAGAGTGGAGCATTGAACAAATTAAGGAGTAGTATAGATTCAGTTACTTCTTTAAAGGGAAACGTTTGAATCAAAATTATGGATGGTAAGTCGGATATGAACCTATTGCTGCAAATATTTTTTGGCATTAATCGACTTTTCCTACAATGCCATGGAATCCAGCTGTTTCGAAATTGCCTATCCGAACAAGTGAAATAGTAAAACTAGTCTTGGCGAGGGTGTTTTGTTTTTTCATCTTTTTAAATTTTTGGTTATTATTGTTTTGTTGGGATGCTGGCTCTTTCAAATTTCATTTTCTTTTTGTCTTTTTTTTTTTTGGGGGGGGGGTTGTTGTTGTTCTTGTTCTTTACCCTGCCCATTCCTATCAACTGAAGCTTTTCTATTAAAAATGTGCAATGTGTTAAATTTTAAAACAAAATGTTAGTGAAAATAAACAGATAGTCTGATTTCCCTCAAAATTATTGTTTAATTATCTTTCCCCCATTAAAATGTTTCTTCTTTCTTACAACGAATATCAGAAAAGTAATCATCCAGGTATAAAAGTAGACCAGACTGGAGGTAGTCAAAACAATTATGTAGTAGTTAATTATTGCAATGTTACTACAACATTTCTTTGCTTTTATGAGTCACGAGACGGGCACCCTCTGCCCAGCTCCCCAGTAGAGCTGTCTTTACTATGCCATCGAAATTTCCTAAAGTTTACACGAAGTCTGCTCATGCGGTTGTTTCGTTTTTAGAATAATTCTACTTGGCCGAGGAAAGCAGGTAAAGTCAGAGAGTCAGATACATAAGAGACGAAATTTTGTTGGGTCGGGGGTTGCTTTTGTGCTAGTTGCTTGGGGGGGGGGGTCAATCTCATTCAAATGTTTGTGCACTTAATTAAACCGTGGCTGCTTTGGTTGGACGTACTCAAGCAGAGAGGCGGGGGTACCTAACAAAATATCTGTCTCACGAGAGAATTGCGTTATGTCTAATGAAGTAGAACATAGAATCAGTTCATCGCGATGGCTGGCGGTATCAGGCTATGCTGATGTGAGATTTGAAAGAAATCTTTGCATTCCTTTCTTGAAGAGGACATACGGCTTTTACCTCTTTGTGCATTAAAACAAGAAATGGGAGAAGAGAGAAAATGATACTACAAAGTCCTGACTGACACTAGGAGCAATTCAATTAATCAAGCGCTCACCTATTAATAATTCAGGTACAGAACCCAGGAGATGCAGAGTCGCCCATGGAGATGCTGACCCAGGTACCATCTCCTACTACTTTGCTGCATTGTAGTCACTTGAGAACATGATACTAATGAGGTTACCGCGAGAGAGTGACAAAACGCCAGACCAAGAGCTTCTCTTTCACTACTTTAGTTCTTGAGTTCTGGTGCATTATGACCCAAAAGGATGTTGACTCGTTTCGTCTTAACTGTATTTTATGGCAGTAGCTGTGAAAAGAAACAGGAGTAGCGTGTCATACAAGAGTGTTCGCCTACGAGTTTTTTGTTCACACCGTTCTTTCCAATTGGTTTCGAGCTTGGCATCCAGACTCGTGTTTAGATTAAAAGCATCGTCGAATTTAACAAATTCTCGGCCACTTTCATTGTTTTGACAAATATTCAGAGACAAGAATGTCTTTAAAGCAGGCCATATTCCAACCCGTAATATGAGTGAAAATGGTACTACCCAGCTTGAATAGCTTTGCGATTTTTTTTATATCTGACACGTCCTCGTGATTTTTACTGCACATGTGAGACGTTGACGTCTGGGCTTCGAAAAATTGTTAAACTTTTCTTTTCCTACTTTCTTTGTTTCCCACTATTTCCCAACGTTCATTCCTGAATCGGGTCTTATTTTTCTTTTATGAATGGTGCGCTCTTTCAACACACACCTCCACCCTTTCCCGTCATCCCCTCCTCAGAGGTACCTATGCTCAGGCATGTATTGGTCTGATTCCCATTCAAATCATCTTTAAAGAAGCCTTGCCTCTAGCCTAACGTAGGTCTCTTATAATTTGACAAAGATGAATGAGGGAAGAGCCGGATGAGAAAACTAAGACTTTGACAAACATGTTTTTAAGAATGCCAAGCTGAGAATTCCAACCTGAGTCTCCAGTATCACAGTACAGCAACATACCAGGTGGTGAGATGTCGCAACCACTTGTTCTCTATCTATCTATCTATCTATCTATCTATCTATCTATCTATCTATCTATCTATCTATCTATATATCTATCTATCTTTCTATCTATCTATCTATCTATCGATACATCTATCTTTCTTTTGTTCTTTCTTTCTATCTATCTGTCTATATATTTATTTTTCTTTCTTTCTTTCTATCTATCTATCTATCTGTCTGTGAACTCATGAACGCCTCCTTTCAAGCATTAGTCCATTAGAGTACCCGGTCTCCCCATTGATGTATCTGTCAGACTCCGGCTCCATACGTTTCTCACCGAACGTGTTCAGCTCTCTGCTCTTGCGAGGCTCTATTTCCTCCATCCGTGCAAGCAGCATACCGCTTCCTCGGGTACACGACATTAATCTTGTATGGGTATCTCCCACGAACTCACCACAGGCGTCCAAGAAAAACGTCACGGGTGGACGAGAGCTGACCAACGAAGAACTTTAGGGCACGCACAACGGAGAGGCGGAACGGGCTTGGCGTAGAAGAACTCGGTCCAACCGGATAGCCATGACCTCCGATGGCCATCGAGGTGCCAGTAGCCTTGTCGACTGGGGAAGGGGGCGCGAATGTATTCTCTTGCCAATACAGCTATCTATAATTAGATCGTACTGGAAAGAGACTATTCTTGCAATCGGAACACCGTTTCGTGATTCCTAATCATAAAGGGGGAATGTACTCTCATTCAGAAAGTCGGTCGGAAAGATCGGTTCGGGCTCGTCAGTGGGGCTGGTCTGTCAGACTGACATACGGCGTTGTACACCGATTCAACTTGCTGGGTACTCGAGATCTGGTCGGATCCAGAAATTAAGCACGATAGGTTACAATTCTTGGAAATAAACTAGTTTGAAAAAGCTTTAACATCCAAATAATAAAGTCCTAAGAACGACTGATCCGAAACAAATCAATAACCGTGTTTTTGTCATGGTGGAAAGCATGCGCCATTGAACATACATAAAATGTATTTGTGCAAAGAAATGCTCTGCAATTGCTTGGGAGAACAATAGAACTTATAATAACTTAGCAAAATGACAGAATGTCCTTAAATAGTCTATTTTGAAGCGTTTTCCTCCTGCCAAAGGATTTGACAATGGTTTAAGGATACAAACAAGAATAATAGTGAGAAATCAAGTTGCTTCATGCCATACAACTCGGGAAAATCTAGTCAGAACCTTTTCTACCATTTCTTGCAAGAACTGGGAGGGAGCAAGTAAGTTTTTGTCTCATTTTAGACAGACGAAAGAACCCTGCACACTCCACCCATTCCTTCCCATACTCTACCACATTCCAATATGTGTCACGTGTTCTTGTCTGTTGCAACTAATGCTGGTATGCAGTTACAATAAAAATGAAGAGAGGAGAAAATAGACTGAGACGAAGTACCAAATAAATACTGTGCACATGCGCTTCTAAATGTACTTTGCACTGTGCTCTCATTCGAAAGGAGGGGGGGGGGATTTCTCTTTCAGTGGAGCGTCGATGGCTCAGTTGGTTTAATGCAGGGCAGTTGTCAGGACGACCTGATTGAAACCCTGTCTTAATGCAAGCATGCCATTTTGCACAGTCCAAGAACGATTCTACTAAAACAGGGGTGGAGGTTATTCTTTGTTGTATGTTTTTTTTACTTGTTTGTTTTGTTTGGTAAAAGTATAGACTCAGCCGGCAGGAAAGTGAACCCAAAATAGCATTTCAAGTTCTTTGCTCATCAATGGCGATCTCTGTAAAGTTGTGTTGTACAATATGAATAATAATAACTCGATGATTAAATGTGTATACGTTAAGTTTTCTTGACCAAAAAAGCTGAGTCGTGCATGAACCTTATCGTATGTGTCTTGTTTGTGTTTCAGATCCTTCAGCACGATGGAACTCCAAGCCTGTAACATTTTTGCCCTTTTCGTTGTGGTTGTGACGCTCTCAGTTGCCAGCAGTCTCCCTGCCAGCCGGACGGACGATGTGCTGCAGGTCAGACACACGCTTGTATTGTGATGATTCGCGTTATTTCTTTTATAATAATGTTTATGCTCCCTGTCAACGCAAGTTAGATGAGTTAGGAAACCGACTTCTTCTGTCATGTCTGGCATGGCCAGTCTTGGCCCAGTGGGATAGAAGACCCCTGCACACAGACCTTACATTTACTTGATTTTTTTAAAGACTTGGCTTCTCGGAAATCGAACGCGTATTATTGTCGTCTGCGGGCAATGGCGAAGAGCCAACCATTACTTCACAGACACGGGAAAGATACATTAGTTTAACTTAGTTAACGTCCTTCTTGGCCTTACGGAACATTTCCAGGGGCTGCGGTGGTGTTTCATGATTACACTCCTTGTATTGCCCGAGAAAAGTGAACTCGATTCACACTTGGCTATGCTATTGCATCGAGTATTTTGCCTCTCTACTCGAATACTGAAGCCCACCAAGATCACATCCGACAAGATGGTTCATTCAGCCAAACAATTGTCTGTGGGAGTCCGCCGTTGCTCCAACATGGCGCTGCAATCGCTGTTTTGAAGCTATCTTTCCTTTCTACAGAAGAATAATAGAAATAGCACCCCCTTGCGCGCGCAGATCGACCGCTGTTTATCGATCTAAAATCCGCTGTTTTGGTTCACTCTGTGCGGAGTTTTTGGTGGTTGTTGTTGTTGTTGTTGTTGTTGTTGTTGTTGTTGTTGTTGTTGTTGTTGTTTTAATGACCTCTCGCCTCTCATTCTAAAGCAAAATTAAACGACGAAAATAGTAGCCCCTTTCATCTGAAAAGAGGCGTTTCGTCAGCTTAACCATTTAAAAAGGCGTTCTTCCGAAATTTGAATTCTAATTTTTGTTTAAAAACTAGTTAGTTTCACTGTGATTTTCTCTCACAGGTAAGGTTACTCTGTTCACAAAGTGGGTGCTTTTTCGAAGAGGGCGTCATCGGATTTTAAGGAAGCTTTTTTGATAGACTCAAAGAGAGGAGTGAACCATCTTGTAGTGCATCATCTTTGAACCCACCCACCGCCCAAACCTGGTTTGCTTTTACAGGCAAGACCGAAGTAGTTAGTCTCCTAAATTATATCAATGATGTCAATAGGGGCGTAAAACATTTGCAGTTGTTACTTTCCACACACGCGCGCGCACGCGTGCAAAAAAAACAACAAATACACGCAAGCAATACATACACAACATACCCCCAAGTTCGCTCTGGCCTCAGATTAAATTGGGTTTTTTTTTATCCCTTAACAAAGGGCCCTCCTGATTACTCCCACACAGTAACAAACATATTATTCCATGTCTTCCAGGAGGCCTCGGGTCTGGCTTTGAACAAACGGCCAAAGTACATGGACACCCGACGGGACCTTGACGTCTTTAAAGATCTGGTGCTCATCAGCATTCAAGAGGTGGGTGGCAAGTCGTGTTAACAAACGTGTTTGTTAGTAAAATGTAAGCAATAAGCACAATGGTGTGATGATGCAATCTTGCAATCAAATCAAATCAGGTCTATCCACGTGTCTTCAAATTTGATGATAAACCTTGATTTAACATTTTCGTAGTGGTGAGCTCTGTAGCGAAATCCGAGAGTCCCTTGTCACTGAACAGCAGCCATAGACAAAGAAGGTGGGGGGGGGGGGGAGGTTGTGCTGTTGCTGTGATAAGTGTCATCTCAATTCAGGACGCTAAGAACTACTCCACGCTGGTGGTTGGAAGGCATTGTTTATAGGTCCTATTTCTTTTCTTTTCTTCTGTTATTTCTGTTTGTCTATCTTTCTTTTACCTTTTTTTACGCAAACAAACAATTAAACAAAGAACTCGTCCAACATCAGGGGATGGGGAAAGAACGTGTCTGAAGAGACAAAAAAAATGTCTGACCTAAACGAAATCGGACTCCAAACTGATTTGTTGGCTAGGTCCAGTACACCACTTTCCCCTCCAGCCAGCTGTTATCCCAGACACCAGTGTGGAACGTTTGTTTTGATAGATCTAATTCCTGACAGCCGACTCGTCCATTGGATTTGCTCCTTTTATTCTATTGGGTTTTTTTGTTGGTCACTTCCCAATCAAAGACAGAATAGTAGACGGACATTCTCTGGGGAGACGCATCCATTAAGAGTAATGAATCCCAACAGTTGTACTGCAACAGAATCAGTCGTTGTCTTCGTAATTGGCCCTTGGGCAAAGGCACATCGCTTGGACGCTGTGGCCATTTCATTAGTAATAATTACACGATGCACTCAAATTACCAAGAGAACCAAGAGAGCCGACAACGTGGCAAGAACTGGCTAGGGTACTCAAAGGCAGAGACATAAATAAGGGGAACAAGGAAATAGACTAAGATATTTGACATTTAGAATACATGTAGTCAGTGAGCTATCAGAAATAGAAGACCTCATTTATTCGTTTATTGTGTTGCCATTTTATGATGGGGAGTAGGATATGAGACAGAATCGCCAATACGGGAATAAAAAACCTATAAAATGGCATGATCTCAACTGTCGAATAGAATCTGCCAACACTCTTTATAGTGTAAAAGTGCTTGTCAACCCTTATATAGCCAGCGCTCATTTTTTGCAACCTGAAATGTTCATTATAGCGTCCACTGACTTGTAATTCCAAACGGCACGTTCAGTAATACCTGTCATTACCCGGGTGATTCCCATCAAAATTACCAAATCACCCACTAGTGGGCAATATCGCCCGGGTGGGCAAGCACTGGTGTTAAAGATCCGCCCTCTGTATTATACATGTACTTTAACGCCTCTTCACTTAGGCCAGCCTCAATGTCGGGGAAAACTCTCTCACGAATAACAGCCGGGAAACCCAATGGACGAAGGGAAGCGCGTGTGTGTGTGTGTGTGTGTGTGTGTGTGTGTGTGTGTGTGTGTGTGTGTGTGTATGTGTTTGCGCGCGTGTGTTTGTGTGTGTATACATAAATAATAAAAACAATCACATTTGGCATGAATTAGCTCCCCTTTCATTGCACTGCTCCCCTCCTCCCCCCCCCCCCCTCCCACCCCCTCCGAGTTTTATTTTTTGCTTCACTAACTCGTTTTCCTTTTCTCTCCAAGTGGCCACTCTTTCGTGAGGTGTTACGGTATGTGAGTTTTTTCCGGTTTGTTCCTGTAGCTAATCCTTTTAACCCAGTGCCCCGATCAAAGGTAAAGTAGCCTACACTGCCTTCGGAAGTCCAATAAAGTGTTTAGGGAGATAATGTATTTCAAGTAAAATTTAGCTTTCCAAGCAATCCAATTTCAATCACTGAATATCCTTGAAATATCTCAATAGAAAGTAAAAGGTGGAAGAATTCATTAAAAGGCAAAAACAGTGCTTGTTTGGTTTCTTTGCGATTACCGTGACATTGTATCAAAATTGGGTTTTGAAAAAATATTAACACCGAACTTGTGTATTTGTAGTAGAACGTTTTTAGCAAAGGTTGTACTTTAATTGTTCTATTTTAAGAAAATTGTGGGAGCAGAGTTTGACATCAGACACAGGACTAGCTGTTGTCATTTGAAATGCACTTCTCTGTTCAGTACTAGAGGAGTTTTCCGAAGTGTCTTGAATGGACAAAAAAAAGCACCGGACATAATTAACTACAACCAAAGTAGTACGATCTAAAGCCCTACTTTATCTAAGTGAGGGTACATTAGCGCTATCAAGAACAATCTGTATTTAAATTGTAGAGTGCTTTCAATTGAAACCGTCTTGCTAACGGTGAAAAAGGTTATTTTCCTATTTCTAAAGCTTCCATTACTATAGTGTCCTCTACTGGGAGACTAATTCCCGTTCATGTTTGGGTCATTGTGACAGAAAAACGGTATATCATCCTGCCCATACCCTAAGGCATTAACTTGGGTTCAACAGTTCGAAGTTACCTCCCTCCTTGATTGCAACCTAGTGCAAGTAGTTCTGTTTTCCGTTCCGGTACCGTTTTCTGGTGCTTCAGAATAAAGGTAGCTGCGTTCCGTAAACTGTTGCCATCGATCCGCGGAGCTGAATACCCAGTGATACAAAAACATCATAGTAAATATAAAAGAAAGCCACACTAATGCAAGGTATTTTCCTAGAATGCCTCGTTGGAGGTTCTCGTCTGCCATGAAGTATTTATATCCCTTAAAGTTCCATCTTAACTTTTTCTACTCTTATATTTATACCCCGTGGGGGAATTAACAGTGGCTTTCAAAGAGACTCGGTGGGTTCTAACAGTCGTTTTCACACGATCTCAACGTTTTCTACGCTTTGAACTGATCTGTCGAATATTCAGTACTTTGGGGGTTTTCTGAGTTGGAGCATTGAAAGCAATGATCGATCGTGATGAGCAAGGCCGAAAACATGTGAGCGGAAACTGTACCTGGTAATTATTTAAGCTGATTGTCAAGGGAACTTGGAGTAACGAAACTCCCAGGCATTGTATACCCGTGTGGTTCCAGCGACGCTTGATTAGCTATGACTGTGAGTGGGAAGTGAATGGTCAGGTACTCACAGTTGTAACACGAGAGTCCCCCCCCCCCTCCCCGAAACGGGACGCCACTTTCTCTCATTCTGTTTTTCACTGTTTCACTTATAGTTGACGCTCCGTCCTGTTTCAAAAATCAAACAGCATTCAATATTGTAACTTGATGTTAATTCAATGGACAGATGGGGAGAATAAGTAAGTAGACGCTAGACAGATCGTATGTGTTCTAGCTGTCTATTTATCTATCTATCTATCTATATATCTATCTATCTATCTATCTATCTATCTATCTATCTATCTGTCTGTCTGTCTGTCTGTCTACCTGTTTATCTTCCATTCCGTTCGTTAGTTCTATTAATCCTTCTTTCTCTCCCTCTGCCTACTAGCAATCCATTAATTTATCTTTTTCTCTCTCTGGCTGGGTGTTTGGAAAGCTAGGTTGCATGCTAGATATCGATCGATCTACCTATCGCATTCATTTTCACTCTTAAGTTTACTTCGGTTTCAAGCTCCTTTTCTCCTATTATCTATTTTTTGCTAATCCCATTCCTCCAAATATTTTGGCCATATTGTATTTCCCTTTCCACTGTTTATTCCTTTTTTTATTTTTTCACTCTTTCAAAGCTGACATCTCCTAATATTCATCTACAGGAAGGGGATGTCTGTTGGGGAGCTTTATATTGCTTGTTTGCAATCTTTCCTTCTTTTCATTTATAAGACCGGGAGAGATCTAAGAGTAAAACAAGTCTCCATGGACGTCATAAATTCATTACAGAAAAGTGTTAAAAATGACCTTGGAAACGAGAATTCTCATGAGAACCTGGGAGGGAAAGCAAACATTACAGGAAAAACTGATAACGTGCTCTTCCTCACGTGAGAATGAGAGAGAGGGAGAGAGAGAGAAAGAGAGAGAGAGAGAGAGAGAGAGAGAGAGAGAGAGAGAGAGAGAGAGAGAGAGAGAGAGAGTTAGTGCATAATATGTGTACAAGAGGATGAACTTCAAAGTCCTGTAACAATGAAACATCGACAGCCAGTATCTTTTCCAGACCGACAGACAGACAGACAGACAGACAGACAGACAGACAGACAGACAGACAGACAGACAGACAGACAGACAGACAGACAGACAGACAGACAGACAGACAGACAGACAGACAGACAGACAGACAGACAGACAGACAGACAGACAGACAAACAGACAGAAAGACAGACAGACAGCAGGGTGGTTGAGAAAAGGTAAAAGATAGAATAAGACAGAAAAGAATAAAAGAACCGTAAAGTCGAGAAGTGACCGTGTCAGTTTTGATGAAACAACACTTACAGTTCAGTGCCTAAATGCATAATTGTATCAAAATATGATATAGTAAATGTAGAGCATGACTACACTTTAGAATGTGGGATAAAAGCACAGTTTTATATTATTCTACCTTGACATTTACAGCTTTTTCGCATTCTTTTTCTTGCCCCGTCGAAATGATCAGTTGGCCCAATGGTGGCCCTTTTTCGTAGCGTGGCGGTTAAATACTTAAGCGGCCTGTTATGAAAACAAGGTTAAAGGTACGTTTCCGTTGTATTTCCGCCTATAGGGCAGAGACGAAGCCGATTTCAGATTTGCTTGTCTCTTATTTCTAGCCCAAACATGCGCGTTATTTTCCCGTGGTGCAAAAACTCACCATATCGGTTCTTTGGAGCCTTCTTGATAATTTGAATAATGGCGTATCCGTGTATCTTTCCGTGACACATGTCAGCGGCCGGGGTACGAGGTGGGTCTGTGACATGCCGACACGCGAAGGCCATAGAATCTGGTGAGCAGAATCAGGCCCATTGATTCTGTGATCCTCCTTCAACCCTTTTCTAAGAAGCTATTTTTTCCTTGATTCTGGTTTTGATGTCCATGAAAAAGGGATTGTTTTTTAGTTTTCGTTCATCATTTAGGATCTCAAAATGACG